AATTTGTAGGTATGGGCCAGGAGCCCATTAGGTCTTTACTCATGTATATTGTATTCCCTTATATACAGGGCTCAAGTGAATGAATAAGATGATTACTTTACGGCGTATCTCTTCTCTTTCTCTTCTATTACTTTCTCTCTTTGTCTATCTTGTCTATCTCACATATTGACAATCTATATTACAACACGTTATCAACACGAGTACTCTACCATCTAAGAGAACGGCGGCGACCTAAAGACGAATGGACAATCAAGGTAACAATCAAGAATAGATGTATGCCCTAGAAAAGAATCGTGTCTTTTCTGTCAAGGTAATTTTCAAGATCTATTTAATATCAATAATGATCTATTAGTTTCATCAATTCCAATTATATTTATTTATCTCCAAAAGAGTGAATTGATGATTTTTGTATGAGTTTGAATGTTGTGATAAAAATTTTCTGAACATTGATGCGGAAGCCCAAAACAAATTCATGGTTATTAGATAATAATTAATTCCCGAAAAGTCAAAAAATTTATTTTATCTGTGTGTTCTGGTTAACTTATGATGATGAGGCTTACTTTCGGAAATATTATAGCATTAAAAAAAAGATGCATCACTCACGAATTTCAATGCTTGGAAATTATTTGATGGGCCAATTTCTATCACATGTATCCTGCTAATTATATGTTGGGATTTTTATGAATTGGCTGTGATTATTTGTTGGAATTATTTATGAATTTGTTGGGCAAATTTTCTATCACATGCTAATTATTTTTATGCATCACTCATATGTTTCTTGCCAATTATATGTTTCCTGCTAATTATTTGTTGGGAATTATGACTTGGCCTGATGGCCCTGATCGGATTTCTATAGATGCATATATGTGGGTGAAATTTGGTCATTATTGAACTATTATGTTTGTTTAAAAATTATGGACTGAAGGATGGATTAAATAATCTGCAAGATTATAGTTTCACTGACATGATTTGAAAAGTTTGAAAAGTATTTATGTCTCATGTTTTTAGTGCTATAAAAATTCATGGGATATTATAAGTATGTCTATGTCTATTGTATATGAGATGAAGATCATATACCAAAAAAAATAGTGTAAATTAATATTGGATATATTTTATTGATGTTACATAGCTCAATTTATGATTATCTTTATAATATGGTTGGATGAGAAGATAGAATTTTGCAATTATGAAAATGGTGAGATATTATTTAAAGAATATTTATCTATCCCGATGTATAAGATTCAACTGAATACTAGAAGTCCCAGAAGGACACTAATATTAAACATTGATGGATAGAACGATTAAAATAATGCTCGTTTGTCAATAAGATGTCAATCAATATTTTATTTATCAATAGATTGTAAGTTGAAAATAAAGTTCTTATACGCTCCCTGAAGGATCTTTTATAAGTTAGCAATAAAGTTTGGTATACTCCCTGAAGGATCAACGCCGATACAAGTATCGAAATAAAAGAATAATTACACTCTGAGTAATTCTAGATGACTAATTTTGAATTAAGATGCGATCAAATATTTTATGATATGTTATGAAGTATTTGTATTCTTGAAGTAATACATGGGAATAATGAAATCCAACCAAATCAATACTCATGGACACAATATATTACGAAGAGTGATATAAAAGTAGTTTATTGAGATTGTATTAGTGCCAGAAGCACATATACAAAAGTATATTTTTTTTATGTGAGATATATGATAAAATATTATCTATCTTCTATAAGACTGTATATTTTCTTGATTTAATTGTCCTTATTTGTATATGAGCATCTCTTGTTTGATATGTATCATATCATTCTTTACATTACTTATTAGGATTTGAAAGTGATAAGACACGTAAGATATGTCCAGTAGACATTATCCTCTAGATAATGATTATTTTCGATGATGGAGGAAAATATTATATAACTTATGTAATGAAATCTCATACTTCAATTGTTATACTCTTGAAGAGTTATAAAATAAAAATACCCACATATTTTATTATTCGTCCATGGATCTGAATACGCATGAAACACATGTGGAATAATTTTAAAAATGTGAATTGTGTATGTTGTTTGGAACATATATGGTGAAGCTATCAAAATAAGCTATTACGACATGAATTTAGTTTGAAAATTATAGTTGCATATTTTGTTATATTGTTTTATGCATTAAGTATGGACGTGCTGAGCCTAAATCAATTTGAGTATCTTGAACTTTAGTCTAACTGACTAATGAACCTAATGAATGGTATACATGTAGTTATTTTATCATTTTGTCATGAATTGCAGAGCAAATATCCTGTTGAATTTTATGTCTATAGATTTGAGTTTCCCTGAAGGATTATATAATTAAAAATATCGCTAGTGAATTTAAATATCGACCTAGATTTGGTTATCCTTGAAGGATTGGCCTTGTTGACCAGTATCATAATTGCATAAGAATTATCCAGTGAGTATCTTTAAAAGATTGATCTAGTAAATAATCTCGTTGATTTTTGGATAAATTCATGATCTTTTGATTTTAGATCAGCTCTGCATATTCAATATACTCTTAATGAAGTTATGTAACCAGAATGTTACATAGATTGAATCTATACACAAGTATTCTGAAAATATTTATGTTTGCTTGTATATTTGATAAGATGCATACCACTGACTTATATTGTTGATAGCTACAATATTAAATTTATATGTGGTGCCTGAAGCAAAATATAGTTGACAACTATAATAAAAGGCTCATAATCAAAGTTCAGGTGTAGTGCCTGAAGCATATAGTGTTCACTTAGAAATGATTATTATACTCCGATGCCCAACTTATATATTTGATAGTTAGCATGAGCAGTTAGATCATACTGGCAATTATTTGTGATAATTTCTCCCTAAAATGCGTGTAGAATCGAACATTTCCCATCTGCAATTTATTGTTATGCACTATTCTTTTTTATCACCACAAATTCGTACCTTTATGGGCCTATATTACAAACTAGGTATGCTATGATTTTTATACTCCGTCAAAATTTTAATACCTAGAGGCCATTATAGGGGATCAGTTTATTATTTGGTACATGTTTTGCATAATATATGAAGATGATTTCACGGCATTAGGGGGAAATATGAGCATAAGTTTATTAATGCCGTGAACTATGTGAAATATAAATTATTTCAAACCACGCAATAAATATTGAACTTGAAGTTCATACTATATTTCTGCCAAACGAAATTTATAGTAATAATGGAGTGACCAATTTGTATATATATAAATGTACCACAAAGTAAGCAAATTCTCTAGGGAATGACTGACTCCTTAATGCTAGAAGCATAAGGTTTTATAATTAATATATGATGTATGAAAGTCCGCGGAAAATGTATATTCAAGAATTAACACTCCTTTATACGAAACTCCTGAAGAGTTGATCCAGTACATCTTGCACGTGCATCAAACCATTATAGTACTGGAAATGCGGAAATGCCAATTAGATGTCATGGGAAATGGTTATGAATATGGCTAGTAATTATGAAGTTGCATATATGTTTGAGAGAAAAATATAAATTGAATATCAGTTGTCGACAACATACTTGCCTATGTGATTTCTTTACTATCTCAAATAATGATCCGGATCAAAATAATAAAAGAGCTTGAAGCGCTTAGGTTGATTGAGATAGAAAGGAAAATTGAGGCAGAGCTTTCACTCGCTACACGATATATCCCAGGAGGATAGCATATCCCAGAAGGATAATGAATATTTATATGAAATATGTGATGTGGTGGTGTGATGTAAATATAGCGAGATTATGCTCATAGGTTTATGCAGAGACCCAAATATTTATTTAGATAAGTTCTCTCATTATCAATGATTCCGCAAGTTAATATTTATGGCAGCAATATTACCATGACTATTGAGTCATATGTGAAAGTCCTGGATGGACTTGAATACCCGAGATGAAAGATAATGAAATAATAAATAGTTTAATTATTTAAAATGTTGGTAAGATGTGGTACAACCAACTAAATTCTTCCTGAAGAAGTAAAGTAAGTAATTCAAGGTAGAACCTTGTGTATAATGATAATTTCGGTCAAAAAGATTATGTGGTGAACACTATGTAAACGATTAAATAAGTTAGTTCATGTTTATAGACGGAGTAAGAATGGAACTTTTGGTTAAATACCAAAGAGTATTATCTCGACTTGTAGATCGAGCATCTCCTAGAAGAAATATTTTTGACCCAACCAATCTACTTGAATCTCTGTTAGAGATGTAAAATTGTAACATTAATGAGTGTCAAATATTTAGAAGTTGATAAAGATCCAAAGAAACAAATGAGGATATTATAGGACCTGAAGTTCCAATGGACTTGAAGTTCAAAAACGACCTGAAGTTTATTTACTAAGCGAAATTGTGTTGTACTTTTATCACGCAAACTGCATCAGGCCTGATACTACATTCGTGATGAATTTGCTAGCAGATTTACTAAATCTCTCCTTAGAGAGATATCGTGATAAATATTAAGAATATCCCATTATTCTTCATGTATGTTGAGTTATCTTTTGACTTGATATATGATATTGGTGGATAAGGACATCAATTGTATAATTGATCCCCGAAGTATGGGTCCTCAATTGGTTATATACCTCTTAAATGGTATTAACTCTTTACCATTGGTTATTGAAATTTCCCCATATTTATCCAGAAGATAACTTAGTTTGTGTTACACAAATAAATTATAGGAATACATTTGATGATATTTTTGAATCTATATTAACTCTGGAAGAGCAACAAATGACGATTTTATGTTAGAAACTCTTACCTTGAGAGGGAGCAGCATACAATTCTGAATGTAACTAGAAAGACTTTCCCTTCAGGGGGAGCGATAAATAAATCTCAAGATCGAGTCCGGAAGGCTAATTATAATCCTGAAATTAGGCCCTGTTGGCCGACGCTGTACTCTTTTTCCCTTGACTAAGTTTTTTCCCATTGGGTTTTACTTGGTGAGGTTTTTAACGAGGCAGCATGTGTAACACATAAATTTGCATATGTTATGTACTCTTTTCCTCGACTGCTTTTTCTTACAGGGTTTTGTAGCGAGGTTTTTAACGAGGCATAGACATGATGCGGTAATGTCCAAGGGGGAGTGTTGTAAATATTAATTTGTGGACATTACCTAGATATAGAATTTGTAGGTATGGGCCAGGAGCCCATTAGGTCTTTACTCATGTATATTGTATTCCCCTATATATATAGGGCTCAAGTGAATGAATAAGATGATTACTTTACGGCATATCTCTTATCCTTTTCTTCTACTACTTTCTCTTTGTCTATCTTGTCTATCTCACATATTGACAATCTATATTACAACAAGTTCTTAATTATTTAGTGTACATTTATTCGTTAATAATTTAAAAATAAGAATATAAATTAATTTATTTGTTTATTGTTGTAGAACTATCATTTTTTTTTTTTAGTTAACCCATAATAGATACGCATTTTCTTATACAAACCAGCCCACAAACCGGCATGTTCAAAGCATTTTCAAAAACCTTCCTCGGCGGCCACCGTCTCTTCAACTTCAGACCCACCACGAAAATCCCCCACCACATCACTCTCTCGCCCATGTCAACCGCCGTCACCGCCGTCAAGCGCGTGGGCACCCACAACGGGAGCTTCCACTGCGACGAAGCCCTCGGCTGCTTCATGATCCGCCTCACCAAAAAGTTCTCAGACGCTCACATCGTCCGCACGCGTGACCCGCAGGTCATACTATCATCTCCTTCCTGCATTAGTCGGAGATACATTTTTCATTTGTTTCTGGTTAGATTCACGTTTGCGGGTTTTTTTGTATACGTAGGTATTGTGTTTGATGAAATGTGCCTTTGAACTGTATCAGGTTTTGGAGAGTCTTGATGCTGTGCTTGATGTTGGTGGGGTTTACGATCCTACCAGAGACCGATACGATCATCATCAGAAGGGTTTTGAAGAGGTTTTTGGGCATGGATTTGATACTAAGCTCAGTAGTGCTGGTCTTGTTTATAAGGTAACGTTAGATGCAGGGCACCCCACATTCAGTTCTTGTCTTCCGGTTTAGAAATTGAATTTCACTGCATAAGTGTAGTTTTCGACTCCTTTTGGTATCAGTTGCAAATTCCTTCATTTAGTTTGAGCCTGTTTACATTCAGTATTTGCGATATTTTGGAGTAGGAGAGCTAATTTTTTGCACAAGTCCATGGTTATGAGTTATTGTTGGTTAAAAAGGCAGTTTCTGTCTGTTTAATGTGTAGCATTTTGGTAAAGAGATAATAGCTAAGGAACTTCAAGTAGATCAAGAACATCCAGATGTGCACCGATTATTTCTGGCAGTTTATAAGAGCTTCATGGAGGTAATTTTCTTTTTCTTAAGCAGAATGGTTTCTATATTTATTTATTTCTGAATCGTTGTATATTTCTTCATGTATTGGATAAATTAGCAGTGATGTTGTTTTTCGTACGAGCACCATTGTTGGTTAGACAGGTGAATTGTTATTTTCTTGGATATGATAAAAAAATGTTTGCTAAAATGTGGTCGCAATTTCTCCTAGAAAAAATGAGGCTGAAGCCGAACGGTGGCCAGACTTTCAGTTTATTGAGTAACATTACATGTCCGGTGCCTTTATATCTTCAGTTTCAAGGGAAAATGGATGCCTTGATGCCCAGCAATAACTTCCCGAGCCAACATAAACAAACATCCAGTCTAATAATTAGTCTCCTAATATTGTCCCGGATCATGTGATTAAATTGAAGATTGACGATTGATTATTTCTGCATTATCAATTAGCAACAGTATCTTACCCTGCAACAAAAATTGAAAGATTTGTTGGTTTCCCAATAAATTATGTTTTAGGCCAATAGCACCAGATAACGTTAGAAAATTGGGATACCTTGCAGCTTCTTGAAAAATCCTAAATCTCTTTTATTTCCTGTAGAAGTATCCATATTTTAGACCTTGCCTTTTTTTTTTTTTATACTATGCATTATTTCTTTCAGCCATTAGATAAATTGAAGATAACAAACTTTTCATTACCTCCTCAGATTACTCATCTTTTACCTATTGATAACAGGCAATTGATGCCATCGACAATGGAATCAATCAGTACGACACTGACCAGCCCCCAAGATACGTGAACAGTACACACTTGTCTTCACGGGTAGGAAAACTGAATTTGGATTGGGTAGATCCTGATCAGTCATCTGAGAAGGAAAACGAGGCCTTTGAAAAAGCCATGGCTCTTGCTGGGGGAGAGTTTTTGGATGTAAGTTCATTCAAGCACGTTTGAGTGCTATCCTTTTCTTCTTCATATGTATTATTAACTTTGCTCGTGGCAGCTAATTTCATCTGAATGTTAGTTCTTTGATCAACGAAATGAGTTTGAATTCTTTTTAACCATGAGGTTTTTTCTGTTGAAACTGTAAAAGGATGGGAATAAAAAAGTTCTGTTTTGGTTGTAAATTTGAAGGTTTGTTGGTTTGTCTTTATTTTTAGAGCGTACGAAGTCATGCGAGATCATGGCTACCTGCTCGGTCAATTGTGATTGAATGTCTTGAAGCACGGCTGGATGTTGATCCAAGTGGAGAAATTATGGTTCTCAACAGATTTTGCCCGGTGAGTCTTTTTTACTTTTTTTATCCCCAAAGCACACTGAGGAATGTGAACATTAGCAACGTTTATGATAGCCGGTCTCTGTTTCCAACTTTATTAGTTACCACTGAGATTCTAACCTATCCGACAGATATGTGTTGATAAATGTCGTGATATTTCAAATTAAATGGAAAATAATAGAACATCATAAGCCTTAAATGTGATTTTCAAGTATGCTCTTGTTTTCTTTGCTGAATTACTTTCAAACTTACATTATGGCAACATTTCACCTCCGTAAAATACTTACATCCTAAGTAACACTTGGCACATATTTTGGCCTTCAATTAAGTGACCATATTCGCCTTCTATTGTCAAAAATTTGTTGATCAATGTTCTGTCTTGTTAATTGACTCCGTGGATAAGATAAAATTCGTTGTAAACAGTGGAAGCTTCACTTGTTTGAGCTCGAGGAAGAGTTGCAGATAAACCCACCTATCAAATATGTGCTTTATCAGGTAATAGTCACTTGCAAATTTCACTTATCATATATTCTGAGTTTTTACCCGTCCAGTGAGCTATCACGTAAGTCTTATCACGTGTTCCCACGAAAAAAATTCAGGATGAGAGGAGCAAAAGTTGGCGAGTGCAGGCAGTGGCAATAGCACCCGATAGATTCGAGAGCCGAAAGGCACTTCCTGCGCAGTGGCGTGGTCTGAGAGACGATGAGTTATCCAAGGAATCGGGAATTCCGGATGGGGTTTTTGTACACATGAGCGGATTCATTGGCGGGAATAGAACTTTCGAGGGTGCACTTGCAATGGCTAAAGCTGCTCTCAAATTTTGACGTTTAATTTCGAATTCCCATTTGAATTTTGTTTCTCCATCAGCTGCCCGATTCGCTATTCTTCGTTTAATTTCGATGGTATACTTGGTTTTGGTTTTTGTGATCTGATTCTAGACAATTTTCTTTCAGAATCTACTTGGTAATCTTTCCAACTTTTGTTTTCTTTCTGTCAGATATTTTTCTATTACCCTCACAGTGAGTGGATTGACAAGAAAATTGAACCTTGGTGTGTTGCACATTTTCATATTGTGATTTCCTCTAAAAATGTAAGATTTCAGTGATTTTTTTTTTTTTTTTGGGTAAAAAGAGGAAGGAATTTTCCGATGCATTGTCTCATCCTTTTGTCGATCGCTATTGAGATTAGAGACCATGAGGCAGCTACACGGCTGATCATATAGCTGAAAATTAGGAATTTCAGGTAGAAATTGGATATAAAATAATTTTAATTTGATGTTCTTAATGAGCTCATAATCGAGCTCGAGCTCAGCTCGTTTATCAATATTAACAAGCCAAACTCGAACATTAACAAGTTGGAATCGAGTTTTAACTAGCCAAACTATAGTAAATTACATCAAAATCATCTTGTCGAGTCTTACTCGTTAGCTTTATATAAGATTGAGCTCGACTACATCCTTTTTTTTTTCAATGTTTGGAATGGCACCATGAAAAATGACTGGAGTTGCGGTGGAGACAATCTCAAGCTAATGTATATACCTCAATCAAAAGAAATGTATAATTTCAAGCTTTCAGCAGTTTTTTCTTCATAGGTTACACAAAACCATGCTGATACAAAAGAGGTAAACAATAAACATGCAGCAATCTAGGCAAAGAAAACACTCTTCCCCAGAGAAATTTTCATTCAAAAAAGATGGAAGAGCAAATGACTAAAATTAGCCTAAAAAAGTTAAATTATGCATATAATAGAAGTTACTTAAGAGGTTAGTCAGCTACTACTAGCTACTTTTGCTTCTAATGTATTATTGCCATTAAAAGCTGTTTGTTGTCCTGCGGTCTGCGCAAACTGGTTTCCCGATGAAGTCGGAGGAGAAGTGACAGCTGGACGGTCAATATCCATGCCAGCTGCCCTAGGTGGCGATGATGGCTGCACATCCACATCAGGATATGCCGCCTTGAATCTTGCTCTCAGCCCTTCATCGACTAACCGTACACCTTGCAACTGGTTACCCAGTGAGAGCCACCTGGCATTCACGGCAAACACCCTTTTATTTTCAGAAGCTAATGAAAATAATCGAGGATCGGCATATTTGACAAACATTCAAAACAAAACTGATCTCCCCAAAACCTCAAACCTACAATTTACCCGTTCCATTTGTCGTCTTAGTTTTTTTCAAGAAGCTTAAGAAAGACATGAATTTGATGTTGCCATGCATACCTAATGACTATTTTACCCCTTTCTATGTTAAATCTAAAATTGGCACATAAGGAATTCACATATAGATAATGGAAATGTTGTCAGTTGCTAAAAGGAGTTGTGATGATGCCGATGTGCATCGAAAAAGAAAAAAAAATAACTAATTTATGTTTCAGGTGAAAATGGTAAGGGTAACCATCATAGTGAAGTAGCTCAGGTAAGTTTTTTACCAGAAAATGCAAATTATAATCTCTCAACCAACCTTTACCTTCCCTTAAAAGTGTCGTGTTATAAGCTATTCTATGGTACACTCAGCCATTACCATTTAACATGTAGTTTTAGTTTATCAAAAAGCATGAAAGAAGTTTCTAAATAGAGTTCATTCAATGCACCCCGACAAAAATTGGGCCATAAAATTTGAATGGTAATGATCAAGAAAGCATACCCAGCCTGCACGTTGTGCATCCTTGCAAACAACTCCAGCTTTCGTGTCCTTGGACTTATCCGTTCCAGCATTGCATACATCTAACACACATCATGCAAGTTTTCAGACACTATACACGAGTAAATTCCAGTAAGTTCAACAAGGTTGGCAATGTAACATATACATATCAAATAACTTCAATCAATATGATATTGGTAACTTTTCAATTTTGATAGCTAAAGGTTCAAAATGTGTCACTTAAGAAATAATTTATGGGGTAAAATGTATCCACGCTAAAGAGTTGTACGCTAGACAAAAATAGATTGATCATTCAATCACATGCAATGCATGCAAACAAAATCATTTATATATATTGTTCTGTTTTACTTAATTTGTGTTACATAAAGAGGTCTGAGCAAAGCCAAAACTGACCTCATCAGGTTTGCGACTTGTTTCACGAACTTCAGCAACAATGACATCAGTGTCGATATTTCTGTTGACCTCAGGATTTCCTTTTACTCCAACAAGACAATGCTCTTTGCTGTGGTTGAGCCAATGGCCCGTTCGACCCGTTCTGATGATCCTCTGGAGTTGATTGGTCTTCACCCATATTATCTCCTCCACGCGCTTATAACCCCAAAGCTCCAAGCTGCACAATCTCATATCATTCAACCAGACTACACATGAGCTTACATCTTTTGCTCGTAAGATAAAATTATGAAGTCTTATTATCTGTATATATAACATTAAAATTAAAAGATAGATAATGTATATATCATATTTTATAAATTTGATTATTAATAAATAAACAGTATAAATATGAATTATTTAACTATACACATGAATCTCTATATTGATGTTGATACTGGGTATGTTGATGTTGATGTACTGGGTATGTTGATGTTGATGTTGATGTGATGAATCTCTATATTGATTGCACATATTTTAACTACTTTGAGGGATCAAGACCAATCAATTACCAAGAAAAATATTGAAACATATTATTATTATTATTATTATTATTATTATTATTATTATTATTATTATAGGGGGTTTCTCCATGCCATTAAATTAATTATACGTATACAAAACTAATAAAACTTTTAGAGTAAATAACTTAAAAAAAATGCAATGTAATGTGTGATGAGTATGTAACTTACATATATCATTTAGTGTAAATTATAGTTAGCTGTTTTAGTAATAACTATTATATGATAGAATAACTAATAAAGTACGATTAAACTTAGTTAATATAAAATGCCCACAGTTTCAACATTATTGATTGAAAAATGGGCGGGAAAATTTATCATTTGCATTTATATATATACATATATAT